ACGTCTTTTTTATCCATTCATCCATCGATGGACATTTGGGCTCTTTCCATACTTTGGCTACTGTTGATAGTGCTGCTATAAACATGGGGGTGCATGTGTCCCTTCGAAACATCACACCTGTATCCTGTGGATAAATGCCTAGTAGTGCAATTGCTGGGGCGTAGGGTAGTTCTATTTTTAGTTTTTTGAGGAACCTCCATACTGTTTTCTAGAGTGGCTGCACCAGCTTGCATTCCCACATCTCTAGAACTTTATCTTTCCAAAGAAACTCTACCTATTAAACAGTAATTCCCCATTCTCCCCTCAGCCCCTAGGAACCACATTTCTACTTCCTGTGTCTATGTGTTTGACTACTCTAGGGACTTAATACAAATGGAATCACAGTATTTGTTCTGACTGGATTATTTCACTTAGAATAATGTTTTCAAGGTTCATCCAGATTGTAGTATGTATCAAAATATCCTTTTAAAGGCTGAATAATATTGTATGTATATACAATAGTGTGTATTTATTCATCTGTTGATGGACACGTGGGTTGTTGTCATCTTTTGGTTATTGTGAATAATGCTACTATGCACATGAGTGTGCTGGAATCCTCTCAGATTTCACACTTAATGGTGAAAGCGTACTTTTAGAAATACACTTGCTCTTCTTTTTGTGGTAAAAATAGTGATATAGTATGTGTAAAATAACATGGTGACAAACTAATGGTCTCAACATACTGTTAGAAATATTTTAGGAAAAGTTATATGCTAAAAGCGTGCTTATGCAGTTTGATTATGGTATCTCAGCACATAGTGTTTTAAGATTGTTTCAGGAATAAAGTGTGTTTAGAACTACTTTTTTGTGAACCACTAAAGGAGAGCTATGTTGAAGATTTATACTCAATGGTAAATTATTTGAACAGTGTTTTATGAAGGAATTGTATAACCGGTGATACTGCAGTGCATTGAATGGAATTTTAAAAAGGAAATTAGGATATGATTGCAATTTATTCACTTCATCATTTATCGGTAAGCAAAAAAAGGTGAAGCCAGAACACCACAGAATATTATAACATATTTTTATTGTCAATTTTATGAAAATAATGCCCTTATAATACAATAGATACAGATTTTTTACAGTATTTCCAAATGAAATGGAAGGAACCATTGAAGGTTGTTGTTTCATGCAGGTTTGTTTCATCTCCTGGCTGTTTCAAATTTGTTGACCATTTCTTTAATAAGTGACCATTAGTAGTATGCTTTGTTAGCACGTATTTTTGAGAAAATTTAATCTGTTCCTTCAAGATAAAAGGAAAATTTTAATAGTAAATGACTACTTTTCCAAAGAAATGTGAGCTGTGGAGAAAGCATTTTGATGCTGAATGTTTGGAAATGCTTCCATCATTGTATAATTTTGTGTGTCTGCAAATACTATATCTGCACCTTAAATCAGTTGGAAACAGAAATTTCTTGTTTTAAAGTCAGGGTATTAGTCTGGGTTCTTCAGAGAAACAGTACCAAGGGGTGGGGGGCGGCGTGGGGAGAGAGGGAGGGGGGGGAGAGAGAGAGAGAGCGAGAGAGAGTGTGTGTGTGTAGAGAAAATGAGAGAGGTTGATTGGTTTATAAGGAATTCTGTGACAACGATTTTACAGGCTTGGCAACTCCAAATTCTGCACAAGGTAGGCCCAGGGAAGAGTTCTTGTTGCAGTTCTAGCCCAAAGGCAGTCAGCTGGCAGCATCCCATCTTGCAAGGTCAATCTTTGTTCTGTTAAGGCTTTCAACTGATTGGATAAGGCCCACCCACATTATGGAGGGTAATCTGTTTTATTCTAAATTTACCAATTTAATATTTATCTCATCTAAAAATGCCTTCACAGAAACACCCAGGATAATATTGGATCACATGTATGGGCAATGTGGCCTAGTCAAATTGACACACAAAATCATATCACAGTTTCAGTGGAGTTTGAACTTATTTGTTAAAAATATAAACATGCGGTGTTTCCTGATTAGTTTGTAAAAATAACAGACTAACATCAAGGACCTTTATTAGCCAGATTTTAACACAAGCCTTTGCATATAGGTAAATGAGGTTTAAGAAGGAATTGGGAAGTATAGTCAATAATGAATTTTTTCCATTTAGAACTTTATATCTTTGTGGGATGTTTTTTGTTTCCCCAACTCTGACAATCACTAAACATTAAGTGTTCACAGTTTGGAACCAAGGCTTTTTGATTTATTTGCTATTAAGTATTATACCAAGATTTTAGAAATAATGAAGCATATTTAATTCATTGCTCTCACTAAAATTGTTCATATTTTTAAAAAGTAATGGCCCAAAGGCTTTTGTTAAATAAGTTAAAAAATTATTTAAAACTAACATTTATTTCATTTAAACTTCTTTTTAAAATTTCTATTTTTGTGCATTTCACAATTATGTAATTTAATAGTATAGTGTATATAATTTACAAAGTTACATATACAGATATTCACATTTTTTACTAATAGGGGTTTGTAATTTTAAAAAATTAAAGATTTTATCTAGAAGAAAAATAAGTGTAATGTAAAATTTGATGAAGATGATGGTGGGAAGAAGCCTTTGAAGCATTTTGGAAAAATGAAGGGTGATTGTTTTAGCTTCAGACTGTTCCTTTAGGGGGGAATGTTTTTTGTTGAGAGTTACTCAGTTTGAAAGAGAATTCAATTTATAATAGGAAATACTAATACTCCAATTAAGTTCACTGGGCAGTGCATTGTTTTGCTGTTTCCAAGTCTGCTTCGGAAGCCACATGATAATGTAAGAGTTGTATGAAAGAATAGAAATAGAGTAGTAATACCAAACTGTGATAGCCAGATGAATTCTGCCTCTGCTGTTTAGATAGAATTTACCTTTACAAGTAGAATTTAAAATGATTTAAGGTAGGGAAAGGGATAAAGGGCGAAGACTTGGAGATGATTCATTTGTAAATAATGAATCTGATTAAACAATGGGTGATTTAGAAAAAGAAGAACTATTAGAGATACAAAAAGGGATGATTTTTGACTATTTTATCAACATAGGTTTTTGATATGGGAGAGGGAGAAAACACCAAGTTTTTAGTCAATTTGGAGATTGGAGTCAATTTGAAGGATAGGAAATGATGATTTCTTAGACAAGAGGTAGAAAGGAATATTTGAGGATTGAAAGAGCTCTGCAGGATAACATAACTTTGTGATGTGTTGGTATCATGTTTACTGCATTGTAGAACACTTAATGACATTATCGTAACCCTATTGAAGTGTGTGATGGGATTCCCATTTTAAGATGGAAAAAGTTCAGAGAGCCTTCATAACTGCCCAAGGTCAAACGTATGGTAAATGCAGAATTTACCAGGTGTATTTGATTTTGTTTAGCTTCATTGAGTGCTTGCTATGGTGCCAGGCATGGTGCTTATTATGCCTTGGGAGTTTTGAGATGAATAATACATGGTTCTTGACCTCCAGAGTATGGCAAGTGAATAAGATAGTAATTTTTAAGCTTCTGCACAACAAAGGAAATAATAAACAAAACTAAAAGGCAACCTATGGAATAGGAGAAGATATTTGCAAATGATATATCTATCTGATAAGGGGTTAATGTCCAAAATATATTAAAAAGAACTTACACAATACAAAACCAAAAAAACCAAATAATCAAAAATGGGCAGAGGACCTGAACAGACATTTTCCAAAGAAGACATAACAGATGGCCAGCAGACATGAAAAGATGCTCAACCTCCCTGATCATCAGGGAATGCAAATCAGAGCTGTAGTCACCTCCAGTCTGTCAGAATGGTTAAAAACAACACAGGAAACAGGTGTTGTCGAGGATATGGAGAAAAGGGAACCTGGAACCCTCTTGCACCATTGGTGGGAATGCAAACTGGTGCAGCCCCTCTGGAAAACAGTATGGAGGTTCTTCAAAAAAACTAAAAATAGAACTACCCTCTGATGCAGCAATCACACTACTGGTATTTACCCAAAGAATACAAAAGTACTAATTCAAAGGGATACACGCACCCCAAAGTTTATAGCAGCATTATCTACAATAGCCAAATTATGGAAACAGCCCCTGTCCACTGACTGATAAATGGATAAAGAAGGTGTGTGTGTGTGTGTATATGTATATGTATATATGTATATATACATACATATAAAGAATACATATATACATCTATATAAAGAAGCTATAAAAAAGAATGAAATCTTGCCATTTGCAATGACATGAATGGAGCTATAGAGTATTATTCTAAGTGAAATAAGTCAGAGAAAAATACCATATAATTCACTCATGTGGAATTTAAGAAGCAAAACAAACAAGCAATGGGGAAAGAAGAGAGGCAAACCCAGATTTTTAACTATAGAGAACAAACTGTTAGTTATCAGAAGGGAAGTGGGGGGGGGCGGGGAGAATGGGTGAAATAGATGACTAAGGAATGCACTTGTGAAGAGAACCACGTGATGCATGAAAGAGTTAAATGACTATTGTCTACCTGAAACTAATAATTACATTGTGTGTTAACTAGCTGGAATTTAAATAACTTTTAAAAGAGTAATTTTTAGGGGAGCCTTGGGGACCCCTAGATCAATATACCCCAGTCTGAGAGTTTAGGGCCATTTTCTGGAAGCCACGGTGCCTGAACTAAATCTCAGAGGAGGAATAAGAGTAAATTGTAAAAAAGGTGACCAGGGGAGAGTGTTGCATCCAGAGGAAACCACATGTGTAAAGGCATTCAGACATAAAGCTCTGTGATTTATGCTAAGAAATTTAGCATTCTAAGAAATTTAACATTTGTAACCTACTTCTATGTAGATCTTAAAGGATGAGGTGAGTGGAGACCAATAGAGAAGCCTCTCTGAATAAATATCAGAAGCTGGTTAAAATATTTGTGGATAAAATTTTAGACTTTTCAATGTGTTTTTACCTTCCCTTTCTAGGATCAGTTCGACAGCTTAGACAAGCATACACAATGGGGAATTGACTTCTTGGAAAGATATGCCAAATTTGTTAAAGAGAGGATAGAAATTGAACAGAACTATGCGAAACAATTGAGGTAAGTTATAATTTTTTTTCAGTTCTCAGAAATGAAGTTATATCTTTAAACAGATCAGTGTAAATTCTGTGGATTTTTTGGGTCATAATTAGATTGAATTAGGTAACTGATTTTTAAAAAAAAATTTTTTTTTTAGCATTTATTTATTTTTGAGAGAAAGAGAGCGCAAGCTGGTGAGGGGCGGGGAGAGAGGGAGATACAGAATCAAGCAGGCTCCAGGCTCTGAGATGGCAGTATGGAGCCCAACGCGGGGCTCAAACCCACTAGCCGCAAGATCATGACCTGAGCTTAGGTTGGACGCTTGACCAACTGAGCCACCCAGGTGCCCCATAACCAATTTGTTTTAATCAATTTAATTAAATAATTGGAATTATTTAGGAATATTGGCTAGCTAGATCATGCCGTAGATATTCCAGAAACATATGTAAAATGCTAAAATCAGGAAGCAAAATGCCAGGAAAAAGAAATTCCTGAGTAATATGCTTTCCCCTGTAATTTTGCTCTAGTAATCTTTCAAAAGCGTTGAAGATTTCTTCAATTTCTCAGTTCTTCAGAGTTTATAGAACTTCGAAATTGAGTGTGTGGAGCTGAATTTCTGTCAAAAATCAGATAATATATTTCTGATGAAAGTAATGTTGGAGTATGTGTTAGAAGATAATAGTTTTAAAGGGAAAGCTTTAGCCATAAAACAGATGGAATTTATCTTAAGGTTTTGTTCAGGTGGAAAATTGTTGTGAGACTACACCTTGACAAATAGTTTTGGTAGAACTTACTCAATAAAAACGGTGCTTAAAGTCTCAAAGACCCAGTATAAGGTTCTAGCCAGCAGGGTTAGGGTTCCTTATGTTGCAAGTGACAGAAAAGTAACCTAAAACAGGCACACGTGACTAAAAAATGAAGGTATATTTAGGAGCGCCCGGGTGGCTCAGTCCATTAAACGTCCATCTCTTGGTTTTGGCCCAGGTTATGATCTCATGGTTGGTGAGATTGAGCCCCACTTAGATCTCTGTGTTGACAGTGTGGAGCCTGTTAGCAATCTTTTTCTCCCTCTCTCTCTGCCTCTTACCCCATTATCTCTCCTCTCCCTCTTTCTCTCTCAAAATAAATAAATAAATAAACAAACAAACAAACAAACATTTTTAATTAGAAAAAAAATTCAGGTATATTTTGATTCAGGGATCAAATGTGTCCAGGCACCATTTCTTGGCTCTGCTTCCCCTTGTTGCTTTTATCTTCAGTTTCCATTCAGTACTATCCTTCCTGCCCCTTTAGCTCTAGATTTCATATCTTCATACCTCCACATTCCAGGGAATGATGGTCTTTTCTGTTGTGCATTTGGGGAAGGAGAGAGGAAGGAAAAGGGAGAAAGAAGAAATTGAAAGAGGGTGGGGGGGGGTGGAAGGAAAGCAGAGTGTAAGCTTGTGCCACCTTCTTTTTTCCAGAAACTCCAGTGAAGGTCATCTTTTATCATGCTAAACCTAGTGAGGTTATATGTTTCTCCTGAACAGTTCAGAGGTAGGAATACTCTTAGGTTGACTTATAGCTAGTGAAGGGGGAGGATAGTTACCCTAAAGAAATTTAAGTGGGTGGCAAAAGATTAGGGGATATTTGAGTGATAAACCACATATATCTACTACAGTAGTAGTGGTGTATGTAACTACTGACTGGTTATAGGGATGGAATAGAGTAGTGTGATGAATAGATTACTTATAGTATTTTTATAATGATATGCTATTATAATGACATTTGCTAACATAGTGGCGTCATGCTAATGTACTGATACCATTCATTTCCTCTGGTTTTTGTGTTTTGTTGTTGAGAGAGAAACAGAGCATGAGGGGGGAGGGGCAGAGATGGAGACACAGGATTCAAAGCAGACTCTAAACTTTGAGCTGTTAGCACAGAGCCTGTGTGGGGCTTGAACTCACGAGATGTGAGATCATTACCTGTGCTGAAGTTGGACGCTTAACTGACTGAGCCACCCAAGTGCCCCTGTTTTGTTTTGTTTTGTTTTGTTTTGTTTTGTTTTGTTTTGTTTTGTTTTGTTTTTTAAACAAGGTATTTTCCATATGAAAATATGAACCAGCAAACCTACTAGGATATTAATAAAAATAATGATAATATTTCACCTGTCCAAAAGTTATGATCTGGGAACTTTATCCAGAATCTAGAATTCTTTACCCAAAATCAAGAAGCATTAAGGACCTCTGAGAGGTTAAAATAGCAATAAAAAGTAATCACATGTGAACAATGAAAAATTTCCCTCATTTAATTTTCAATTTGATCTCATTTCTAGCACAGTAAGTTGTCTGGTTCCCAAGTTTTCCAATGGAAGTGAGGATAAGAAATGTTACAGGCAATGTAGTGATGACAGTTTGAAGTGACAATAAGGGAAGAGTTCAACATACTACAAAAAAACAGATGAAAACAGTGTTTCCAACATAAAAGCACTTTGTCAGTAAGGGAATGATGAAAAATACTATGGAATAAGCAGTTTAAATAAATCACATGTAGCAGGATAAACTTAAAAGGCTATTCAGTCCATCAGTGTAAAAAGCAAATTGTAGAACTGAATGTACAGCAAGATCTCCTTCTTTACTCATGTGTATGTATACAGTTTTGTATAAAAGTTGTATATTTTCTGAAGAAGTCTAGGATACACTCCAAATTGTTTTATAGTGGTTATCCCTAGGGAATGGGAGTGGGGGATTGGTAGGAAAAGGAAGTTCCATTTTTTATTTAGACTTTTGAAATAGTGAAGTTTTTTCAGTGGTTGTGTATTATTTTTGTAATTTAAAACATTTGTTCTTAAGCAAAGAAGATGACATATTTCAAAAGAAAATTCTGTTACAAATTATAAAATAAAAATTGGTAATTTAGGGGTGCCTGGGTGACTCAATCAGTGAAGCATCCCAACTTCAGCTTAGGTCATGAACTCGTGGTTTGTGAGTTCAAGCCCCATGTTGGGCTCTGTGCTGACAGCCCAGAGCCTGGAGCCTGCTTCGGATTCTGTGTCTCCCTCTCTCTCTGTTCTTTTCCCTCTTTCTCTCACTTCTTCCCCCCTTCCCTCTCAAAAATAAATAAACATTAAAAAATTTTTTTTGAAAATTAGTATTTATAAGGTAGAACTTCAACAATCTGGATGTCTAGAATAACTGGACTCGGGTTTCAGGAAGGCCAAGGTTTTACTATAGTAATAGGGCTAATCAAATGGCAGATTTGTTAGCCTTTCTGTTTTGTGACTGATAGTAACCATTATAATTTTCAATGAAGCAAGGGTGGCTAGAACCCACAATTACATGATATGGAAAATACAATTTTGTAGGAGACAGTAAGCTTTATTACATATAGATACTCTAGATCAGTGATTTGCATCTTTCTTCTCTACCAGCACACTAAAGAAATTTGGCACATCTCCATCTTAATAGTGGCTCTCCAGTGTAATGCTTTTCAACAAAGACAGGATTATTGGAAGGTGTTGAGGAATTCCAGTAAGGTAGAATTGGGAAGAGGCATGTGTAACTTAAACCACTGACTCCCTTTCCTCTCTCTACATTGAGATTTGCTCCTTTGGCTGAATACTTAGTAAATGATTGAATTATCATTTACATGCTCTTTATAGTATCTGTTTTGTCCAAAGGGAAGAAGTTTGCCTTGTTTATTTCCTCTCTAATGGGAAAAACTCTTTCGCTACCTTTTGAAGCAATTTCTTTTATAGTGAGGCAGCTTCCCCCTCTCCTAAATAACTATATTCAGAATGTTATACATTTATATTTTAGATATATTGTAAGATTAAAATTTTTCAGCCTTTCGTACCCTTAGTTTATTTTCCTCTTCCCCCTCTTATTTGTCTGTGAGGAGTGACTTACATCCTTTCAAGTTGGAAGGGGGTTAGGAATAGTGTAAGTCTCGTAGGAACTTGAGGGGCTAGTTGTTATTAGGAAAAGGTGATTTATTACTGTCTAGTAAAACTTTAGTCATGAGACCCTTCACATGTATATTAGTGGGCCCTATGCTTGGAGGATGATTGCTAACATGTAACTTGGGGCATGGAGATAAAAGAAGTTTCCAAAGGAATTTTTATATGTTAAAGGAGACTTACAGGATCTTGGAGGTTGGGATAATGTTAAGCTAAGATTGTGTTTTACCGTTAGCAAAGTATTAACGTTGAGGAAGTTGAGTTCCTAGAGGAACATCACTCTGCCTGTCTCAGGGACTTGTCAATAGGCTCTATAAGTTGTAAAGAAGTCTAATTTTTTTCTTTTGCTTTTGTCCTGTACATCAGTTACAGATAATTGAGTCATCTCCATTTTGAGTGATGATATATAGTGACATCAGATTACTTGGTAGAATGTTTTTTTGTTTGCAGGCATAAAAAATGAAATCGGTCATTCTTTTAATAAACTTACACTATTGTATTTGTATGGCAGAGATTAAAATTTCTTTAGTAAAAAATGAAGCTGTATGTACATGATAGATATATATCATTTTTTTTCTAGTAAAGATAATTACAGTATTAAGTTCCATCATAGAGATTGTTCTATGAAATTGTATTCCTCTACTTCCACAGATCATTCCTTTTTGGTTCAGATATGGCAGTGTGGTATACTGGAAGAGAAATAGATTGGACGACAGAAGCTTAACAGCTACTCTTTAACTAGAACAGAAATCTCTCCCAATTCCTTTTGATCTTATGTTGTGTACCAATGCCAAGCCTGGCCTACATAACTGGTCCTCCTAGAGCTGAGTGGATATAAGTTGAAGAATAAATAATTGAATGATCTGTGTTTCAATTTAGTTTAGAAATTAGGATCTCTGCTCATATGCTGAAACTTTGACAAAGTACTGCTTTCTATCCATACTAGAGTTTTTGTTATGTACATCATTGTGATGAAGTTGTTCTACTAAGAGCTGTCCTAAATATTTAGGGTAGGCTTAGGTATAGAATAATCCAAATAAAACCGGTTTCTATTTTATATTTAGTCTTAACTTTCTCATGC